ACTTCAACTCCCAGAATTCCCCAAGCGAATGCTGGCTGGGGAATTCTGGGAGTTGAAGTCCGGACATCTTCAAGTGGCCAAGGTTGAGAAACACTGGTGTAGACAGCTGGCTGGGGAATTCTGGGAGTTGAAGTCCGGACATCTTCAAGTGGCCAAGGTTGAGAAACACTGCATTAGACACTAAACCTACCCAGTTCCTGCCACCGTTCTTCGTATGTTTGAGCCTCCAGTCCCCTAATCCTCTTTGTTGCTCTTCTCCGCACTCTTTCTAGAGTCTCCGAGAACATTGGAGATCAAGATGGACCTCAGTGGGCACAGAGCTCTGGGTTCCGGTCATCTGCCTCACTGTAATGGCCAAGAAAGGCTTCCAGGAGACCCTTTGCTACCTCCGATCTTCACTCCATGTTTGGGATCCAAGAGTCTTGGGCAACGCCTGGTTTTCAGCCCACATGAAGCGTCAACCCAGCCGCCATCTTTGAAGCAGGCAAGTTGAGAACAAGCCAGGGTGAAGAGCTGTGAGGAGCCCAGGTCCAAGAAGCCTCGGCACCCATCAGTTTGTGAGAGTCCCAGAAGGCCGATTCCTCCTGGGGAGCCGAACTCCTGCAGGAACCTTCACCCCCTCGGGGTCTTCCAGGGAAAAGTACCAAGATCACCACGGGGCTTCTGGCTGCTAAAAAACCACCAGTGATTTCACCTTCTGTTCCCGGCGGGGCGTTTGGCCAATCTCCGATTTTAAGAGAGAGCCTGAAGTCTGACTGGGGCTTCTCAGGCCCAAAGCCAAGTGGTCATCACCTCCTTCTGGCCCAATGGCTTCAGCTGAGCAGGCCCCTCGCTCGGCAAGCTGACCCCCACCCAGAGGTTGGTCTGGACAAATTGGGGATGAACCTGTCCGATGCTGGTACAATTAGGAGCTGCTGCCCAGCCTAAATCCTTGCTGAAGGCAGCCTGGAGGACAGGCAACCCTCGGAATGGGTGGTCCCAAAACATTCGCCCTCTTCCAGCTCAGGAAGGGCCTGCAAGGCCTCTGGTGCTCGGTGCTCTTCAAGAGCTCTGCCAGGCCAGGGACTGTCCTCTCTTTGCAAGCATCCTTGGGCACCCCAAGCCCCCCCCCAAACCCCCGTCCTGCAGCTGAGAGGCCTCCTGTTGAAAGGCAGCTGCAGGGTCT